AGCTCAGCTGGGCTAACCTCTACCTTTCTTCCCCAGCCCTACTCCCAACATATGACTCAATTAAACTCTCACCCCAAATCCCATGACTTTTCTTCAGGAGGCCCAGCCATTCCCACTTATGTGGCCATACCTTTTTTTACAGTCTCTTCTAAGGAGTAATTAGTCTGGAAGGATTGAAACAGTGCCAAGCTTAGGTGACTGGGAACATCATCCACTTCCAGATAGATTTTCAGGAATTGCTGGAATCCCTCATACCCAATGGCCTACGACGAGAGCAACCATTATCCCGGGGAGTCTGCAGGATGGGAGCTAGGGACTGAAGAATTGGGAGTAGTGGGGACAGAGACAGTAAGTGCAAAGCTGAGAAGCATCCAAGGCAGGAGTATGATTTCTTTTTTTTGTTTTTTGTTTTTTTGTGTTTGTTTTTTATCCTCACCCGAGGATATTTTTTCCACTTTTTGTACAGATAGAGTGGGAGGGAGAGAGAGGAAGGGAGAGAGAGTGAGAAACATCGACGTGAAGGGACACATCGAGTGGCTGCCACCCGCACAACCAACCAGGGCTGGGGACAAACTGCAACCGAAGTATGTGCCCTTAGCGGGAACCGAACCCGGGTCTCTCCGGACCGCAGGCCAACGCTCTAACCGCTGAGCCAAACTGGCCAGGGCAGGAGTATGATTTCTTGAGTTGAGTCCTGAATTAGTAGAATCCCTTGCTTGTTCTAAAGCAATAGCTGCAGTAACAATGAATGTTGGGATATCTCGAGGGAGGAGAGCATGGGGTGAACCCAGAATAATCCCTGGAGGTTGGGGATTTTAATGGTGTAGCAAAAACAAAGATGGAGGAGTTGGTCCAGGAAAAGATTTACCAGCTGCCACTCACATCCTCTTGGAGATATTTAGCCATTTCACCATCCTCAAAGAGCTTTAGAACATCACTGACCTTCTTGGTGGAATCTAACGTGTGAAGAGATTGAAAGAAGAGTGTTAGTCTAGTTCAGCTCTCCCTGCCTGTCCTCCACCAGTGTCCCACCCAGACATCCAACAGGAAAAAAGATTCAAATGAGATGAATAAAAGAGAAATTCTGAAGTACACAGAAATACAGAAAAGAAAAACATTTTAGATCCTCTAAAGTGGTATCCCTCTTTTTTCTTCTCTGAGACTTGGAGCAGGCAGTCAAGGTTCAGAGAAGGCTGAAACCCCAGGCATCTCCCCATCTCCCTCTCCTTCCTTTCCCAGTCATAGGCATATCTTAGGAGCTGACTGGTTCAAAGCCAGTGGGGAAACTGGGGGGGGGGTGGGGGGTGAGGGAGAAAGAGAAGGAAGAGGAGGGGTTTTCTGGGGTAAGGTCTCCAGAACTAAAGGATTGGATGACTCACATTCCATGTATTTCTGGAGCTGGGCAAAATCATTGGGGCTTATTAGGCCCCTCTCCTTGGCCATCTTTCTTTTTTTCGTAAAGATGACCACAAGGGCAGCTTGGTAGAGGTACTTATGGCGCCTGGACCTCCGCTTCCAAGGGTAGGTCTGGAAGATGACAAGAGCATGTGGCTGAAAGAGCCAGCAGAGTCTCTTTGGTTCTGTCTACTCAGTTAATTCTCCACTCCCACTGTCATCACTGTTCTTTTATTTTCTCTGAATCTCTCCCTAAATCGCCTTCTTTCCTTGTGTTCCTCTCCATATGTCTCTATCTCTCCCTGACAGAGTCTGTCCTTTGTCTCTGTTTCTGACTCATCTTTCTCTCCTCCATTTCTGGATCCGTCTACAGCTCTGATTCCCTCCTCCCCCCATCTGTTTTAATTCATCTCTGACCACCCTCACCTTCCCGCCCCCACCCCCGCTTTCCCAGTGTTTATGACTTCGTGAGTGTGTCTCTCGCCTGCTTCTACCTTTTCTCCCGCCACCCCCAATCTCTGCAGTCTCTCCCGGGCCTGAGCTCTCCATCTCGGCCCTCCGGGTGGTTCTCACAGAGTTGCCGGCACGCCTCCCGGGCCACGACCCCATTTTGCTCCGCCTCCAACTCGGTCCCCAGCCCTGCTCCGCCACCCACTCCCCGAGCCACCCACGCCCTGCAACGACCTCTAGCGCTTCTGACGCGCGACACAGAACCAGCTCTGGCCGGGTCCCCAGCCCCGGCCCCGCCTCGCCTGCGTCCCCTCGGGCTCAACTGGGGAAGGGGGGAATCCACGCACGTGAGATTGGGAGGAGGTAGGGGAAGAAGGCTGAGCATCTATCTGCCTGGCCTCCCAGTTGCAGCAGGGTTGAGCTGAATTAAGGAGTCTCCGATTCCGGGGTCTTCCTTCTACTCTCCTATATTAACTAACAGTGTTTAGGGAGCCCCCAACGTTTATCTATGGCACCCAGAGACCAAAGAGGAGCCATCACGTGGATCATGCTGACCACTGGCCCAGCAGCAAAGTAGCAGAGGGCAACTTGCCTTGAGGAAAACAGCAATAACAATATTTCACATTAGTATAGCACGGCATAGTACAGCACTGTTTTGGAGTCAAACAGAACTAGGGTTAGTCATATCTGGGTTCCTTTCTTAGCTCTGATACCACTGTGTGACTTGGGCAAATTACATCTGTAAAATGGAGAGAATGATACCTGTCTTTCACAGTTGTGAGTATTGTCAAATAATGTATAAAGTACCAACTTAATGCCCGACAATATAGAAGGCCTGAAAGTAATGGTAGTTATTACTGTATTAACATTTAAAATCAAATTCTACAAGATAAAAAATTATTGGTACAGCCATTCTACAGATGAAGAAACTAGCGCTCCAGGAGGTTGGGACTTCTCAAGGCAGGTGATAAATGGAGGAACCAAAGCTTCAACCCAAGAACTGTGTGGTAGGGGCCTTTGCTTGTCTTTTTGTCCTCTTCTTGTTCCACTCTCCTCTGCACACACTGCCTTTTAGTCTCATTGCCCTCCTTTCTGTTCTGTAAGCATACTAAGTTCTTCCCTGCTCAGGGCCATGAGACTTACTGTTCTGTCTGCCCGGAACAGCATTCCACACTCTTGGCAGAGCTGACTTCTTGCCTAAACTGAAATGTCAGCTCCTCCAAGAGAATTTCCCTGATCATTCTGTCCTAAAGTAGCCCCCTCCTTTGCACAGCACCTTCCTTTATTTTTTTTATAGAACGTATCACAATTGGAAATTATCTTGCTAATTAATTTTCTTCTTTAAATCATTTTTATTTTTCAATTACAGTTGACATATATTATATTAGTTTCAGATGTACACCCTAGAGACTAGACATTATATAACTTACTAAGTGATCATCCTGATAAATCTTGTACCCATCTATTTTCTTCTTTGTTTACTGTTTGTCTTCTCCTACCAAAATGTAAGTTCCACAAGGGCAGGAATTTGTCAGTATTAGTCATCACTGTACCCCCAATACCTTAAACAATGCCCATCATGTTGTAGGTGCTCCATATGGGTTGTACAAATAGCTGTGTAAAGATAAGGAGTCATATTTTGGGAACACTAATCCAAATATGGTTAAATGGGATGCCAGAGAGTTCGTCCTGACAGTCAGGGGAATCCATAAGACAATTTGGAACACATATAGTAGTTGCTAAATAAATATTTGTTAAATGAATGAAGCTAAAACGCACTTAGTATTGTATTCCATCCAAAGCTCTGACCTTCTGCCTCCTCTCTGTCCACTTATTTAAGCTCAAGGAGGCAGTTAGGACCTAGGAAAATTTCTTTTCTGATGGTGCAAGAATCTACTCTGTAGCCTCTGCCCTAGGGACATCTTTGCAGCCCACCTCTATGTGTATACCATTCCTCTTCTCGGGGCTCCCTGGGACACTGATATTCTAGAGAAAGGACTACACCCCTCTGGCCCTTTTCAATGACTATAATCCAACTTCTACTGCCAACAGATCTAATGAATATATAATAGTCTTATGGCTAATGGGGCCTGTGTGGCTTAATTAGCCACTCTGATTACCCCTGGGGATTCTTAGATGGCTCCAAGGTTCTAGGAAATGGAATCAGAGAGAAAGTGACAGGGAGAGAGCAAACAAGGGACAATAGGACATGATACTTCTCTCTTGTCTCTTTTTTAAAAATGACCCTTCCACCCTGGCCGGTTTGGCTCAGCGGTTAGAGCATCTGCCTGCGAACCAGAGAGTCCTGGGTTCGGTTCCCGCTAAGGGCACGTACCTCAATTGCAGTTCGTCCCCGACCCTGGTTGGGGTTGTATGGGTGGTGGCCAGTCAATGTGTCTCTCTCACATCGATGTCTCTCTCTCTCTCTCTCTCTCTCTCTTCCCTCCCTCTCTCCCTCCCACTGTATCTGAAGATAAATGCAAAAATGTCCTCTGGTGAGGATAAAAAATAAACAAACATGGGCCTGAAGACCTAAGGGTTGAGGGTTAGATTCTGGTCAAAGGCATGTACCTGGTTTGCAGGTTAGATCTCTGGCCCCAGTCAGAGTTGTGTCGGAGGCAACCAATCGATGTGTCTCTCTCTCACATTGATTTTTCTCTCTCTCCCTTCCACTCTCCCTAAAAATCTATGGAAAATATCCTCAGGTGAGGATTAACAGCAACAACAACAACAACAACAAAAGACCCTTCCTAGCTCCCAGGTCTTAAATGTAGTACACAGCAGAGGTTAAGATAATGGACTTTTGAATTAGGCATGGATTAGAATCCTAGCTTTTGGTGAGTTATTTCATTTCCCTGAACCTGTTTCCTCATTGGTAAAATAGGTACCTACAAAAATTAATCACAATGTGGAGATTAAATAACATAATACATGCAACATACTTTGCAAACTTCATGACACAAAAGGGCTCTATTAATGTTAGCTATTATTATTTTATTATAATACAAGGGTGGTACCTAGAGAAACATACATCTAGAGATTAGGAAAAATGATGTCTTTGACCCAGGAAGGCATAAATTCTAGGGATTCCCAACAGCAGTGAAGTGCAGTTGTGCACCTTTCCCCTGTGTCAGGCACAGACAGGTAGTTTCAGGATGCTGCATTTTGCCTGTGGGAGGGTGAGGAGGTGACTAGAAACTAGACTTTCAGGGTCCAGGGATACCCCTGGGCTGGGACCTTGGACACAGGGCTCCTGAGATCTTTTTAGTTGTCCTCCTGACTTTTCTGCCAGAAAGTTTAGCTGCCCCTGTTGCTGAAAGGCAACAAACTGCAGAATTCTGGAATCCTTTCTTTCTTTTTTAAATCCTCACCTGAGGATATTTTTGCATTGATTTTCAGATAGAGTGAGAGGGAGAGAGAGAGAGAGAGAGAGAGAGAGAGAGAGAGAGAAACATCGATGTGAGAGAGACACATCAATTGGTTGCCTCCCGCATGACCCCAACCAGGGCCAGGGATAGAACTGCAACCAAGGTACATGCCCTTGACCAGAATCGAACCCGCGACTCTTTGGTCCATGGGCTGACGCTCTAACTGCTGAGCCAAACCAGCCAGGGCAGGATCCTGGAATCTTAAAGACCTGTAACAAGTCCAGTTTTGTCCTCCTGCTCCATCCCAACCCCGAGTCTATAACCTGGACTAGTCTAGGCGACTGCCAGGGCTGGGAGGGTGGGGTCAACTGCCTGCCGCCAGCTACTTGTGACTCACCCTTCCCTTCCCTCCTCTGGTTTCCCTGCCTGCCTCTTCCAACTTGGGGTGAAAAAGTTAGTTGACTTTGAGGCAGAGAATCCTAGAACATTCTCAGAGCTAGGAGGAAATTGAGGCCCTGAGAGAGAGCAACCCTCTCAGGGTTACACTCAGACTCTACACAGTCTGTCCTTACACATTAGTCCATGTCATTAACTCTTAGTGCCTCTAGCCCTGGCTGGTACTCAGTGGTTAGAGCATCAGCCCTCGGGCTGAAGGGTCAAAGATTTGATCCCTGGTCAAGGGCATGTACCTGGGTTGCAGGTTCGATCCCTGGCCCCAATAGGGTCGTGTGATGTGCCTCTCTCATACTGATGTCTCTCTCTCTCTCTCTCTCCCTCCTTTCCACTTTTTCTAAAAAATGAATGGGAAAAGACCCTTGGGTGAGGATTAACAACAACAAAATCTTAGTGCCTCTGGTTTTCTAGATCTCATTTTAAACATTAAATACTAAAATTGCTGGTAGCCAAAAGATAAATATGATTTCCAAAGCCAGTGCTAACATTTACAGTTTCCCTTTTCACCCGGCCGGTGTGGCTCAGTGGTTGAGAGTGGGCCCATGCTTTAATTAAGAGCTCGCCTGCCCTGGCCAGTTTGGCTCAGCGGTTAGAGCATCGGCTTGTGGTTCAGAGAGACCCGGGTTCGGTTCCCACTAAGGGCATGTACCTCGGTTGCAGTTTGTCCCTAGCCCTGGTTGGGTCATGTGGGTGGCAACCACTCGATGTATACCTTTCACGTCGATGTTTCTCTCTCTCTCTCTCTCTCTCTCTCTCTCTCTTCCTTTCTCTCCCTCCCACTCTATCTGAACAAGAAATGGAAAAATGTCCTTGGGTAAGGGTTAAAAAAAATAATAATAAAAATAAATAAATAAATAAATAAATAAAAGAGCTCCCGGGTTCGATTCCTGGTCAGGGCACATGCCCAGGTTGAGCGCCCGATCCCCAGTGCGGGGCATGCAGGAGGCGGCCAATCAATGTTCTGTCTCATCAATGTTTCTATCTTTTACTCCCTCTCCCTTCCTCTCTTTAAAATCAATAAAGAAAAAAATTTAAAGTTTCCCTTTTAACTGCAACACTCACTGCTCACATTCCAAGTCCCATAAATTTACCATTACTTCAAGAGCCAGCTAGTTCCCCAGAACATTCAGGCTGACCCAGCAAGGAACCCCAAGGGGCAGGCACTGGTCCTTGAGGGCCCAGGACTGATTACCTGGATTTCTGAATCTGGTAACCACACCAGAGCCTGCCATCCTCTTTCCCAGGACGGAGGGAGGGTCTATTCTTCCCTGCCCATCCCTGCCACTAGTTGGTGGTCCCAGAGAGGGAAACATTTGACTTGCTGGCTTGAAGCCTCAAAATTTATTAAGCTTCCACAAACCGCACAGATGGCAGTGTTGCCTGATTAAGGGGTGGTGTTTGTGTGTGGAGGGGTATCATTTTATAGTATAGGAGGAAGTTCTGATGTTGCATAGTTGGGGGATGTGGGCTCATTCGTTTTGAGGGTGAGGAGATGCCCAATATTTGCATTTCTTCCTCAGTAAAGCTAATTTCCTCCACTTAAAAGTGAAAAACGGGACTCAGACCCAAGCAGTTTCAGAAACTTCCCGGTGACAGGTGTGGAAAAGATAGGGGTGGAAAGTTAGGGACCGGGAGGCCAAACAAGAACCCTTCTCCACCCGTGCAGCGCTGTGGAGGTTCCAAAACGGGCTTTCCTTGGACTCAGGTCCCAGGAAGCCGAGCTTCACCAACCCTCCGAGAGAGTGAGAGGGATGGAGGGGAAGGTTTTGGGGAGAACGCTGCCTACTGAGCTCTGGCGGAGCCCTCCTGCTGCCCCCGCGTCCTGACGTTAACCCTGCTAGCTACCCGCTCCAGCTGTCACGCTTCCTCCTCCTCCGCCCAGCAGCCCTACCCCAGCCCGAGGGGCTCCCCTCCCGCGGCACCCGCCCCTCCTTCTCCGTTGGGTACGACGGGCAGCGGGGGGCTCGCGGGGTCTCTACCTTGCCCGTGGAGTGTGCACGGTCGGAGCTGAAGCGCGGCGCCGGCGCGGGAGCTGGAGCCGGAGCTGGTTGGAGGGGACGAGCCAGGCAGACACAGCCGCCGCGGGGCCGCCCCTCTCCTGACGACAGAGCTGCCCGCCCCCCACCCGGCCGGCCCTCCCGCGCCCGCGCCCTGCGCCCCCAATACCAGGATGCCAGTCTGGAGAGGCCCACATTTCCAGTCCACCAAACCTCGTTTCCCTCTCTCCCGAGTATCTCCAGGGCTCTGGTCTGTGCCTCTTTCTCCACATCCTACGCTTCTTATTTTCTTCCCGCCCTGGGGCCACCGGCACTGTTTCTATTTCCCCTTCATTCCAATCACTCACAGCTTCCCCCTTCATTCCACCCCTGGGAGACCAATGGGGGCGGGACCGCTGGTGGAACAGCTTGTCTGCCGCCCACCCAGCCAACGTCTCACCCTCTCCTAATTGCTGCTGCGGGAGAACTTCCCTTCCCACCTCCTTTCCATCCACCACTGACTAAATTCATACTCAAGAGATCCCACAGCAGCAGGGCCAGAGCTCCAGACTCCACACCCCAAGACCCAAACACCTCCCCCTCTTGGGCCCCACATTACTTGAGAGAATCTGCCCACTTTTGCCTCCAGGTTCCTCACCTCCGTAAAACCCAGACCCCAGATGTCTCAACCTTGTTTTCCTAAGTCTAAGGACACTTCCTTCTCTCAAAACTCAGATTACTCTGGATTCTGGGGTGGAGGTTTAGGTGCAAAGAGCACTCTGGTTTGTTCCACCTTTTTTTTTTTTATTGCCCTAACCCTCCCACTTTACCTGCAGGCAGTGGCAGGTGGTATAGAAGGCCTTTGCCAAAAGTAGGAGTGAAAAGAGATCCTTTCAGCTTATCCTGTCTGGAATCTGTTCTGGAGTTAAGACTCTGTTAGCAAAGTTGGTAGAGCATGGGTGAGAGACAGAGGCCTAGGGACTTACTGGTAGGAACTGGGGGCCCTGGCATCCTGCTTTCTAGCCCCGCCCCAACCTCTAACTCCCTCCTACCCTTCATTGAAGTAGGGCACAGTAACAAAGGCTTGAGTTCCTGGAATCTTCCCTCTTACACCTGGTGGTGGAAGAAAGGGGGAGGGGACAACTCTGACTGGGAGGGTGTATGTGTATATTCTGTAAACGTTGTGTGTATGTACATACACATATAATATATACATACTTTGGTGGGGGTTGAAGAGGAGGAATGAATACATGAGGACCTCTAGTGGAAACAGAGGGGTCTAAACAGTTATTGTTTCAAGACAGGCTTGCTGGAAGACTCCTCCTTTTTTTTCTTTATTGATTTGAGAGAGAGAGAAAGGGAGAGTGAGAAAGAAACATCGATGAGAGAGACCATCAATTGGCCACCTCCTGCATGCCCCCCACTGGGGATTTGGCCCACAACCTGGGCATGTGTCCTGCTCAGGAATCCAACCAGCAACCTCTTGGTGCATGGGTCTACCCTCAGCCACTGAGCTACACTGGCCGGGCAGGGAGATTCTTCATTTTATCAGAAATATAGCTGTTGAGTAATAAGGTTTGGGTTTGGGAGTATTATTACATCTAAACTGGAGATCTGAAGTAGGGGTTGGAGAGGGTCTGTCCCCTCTGATTTTTTTTTTTTTTTTTAATCCTCACCTGAGGACATTTTTGTGTTTATCTTCAGATAGAGCAGGAGGGACAGAGGGAGGAAGAAAGAGAGAGAAACATCGATGTGAGAAAGACACATAAACTGGCTGCCACCCACACGACCCCAACCGAGGCCAGAGACAAACTGCAACCGAGGGTTAGCAGGAACCAAACCTGGGACTCTCTGGTCCACAGGTCGACTCTCTAACTGCTGAGCCAAACCAGCCAGGGCTCCCCTCCGATTTTAAAAAGACATGGACTTTGCCACTCCTCATCTTTCATGTCCCCTTCCTATATGACCTTTTAGTCAGAAGGAATCATAAGTACTTTTGAAGGCCTATTTTGCACCCTCTTCCAATCGGTTTTTCTGCCCATGAACCTCTCATCTAGAATTACTGGAATGAAACTAATCCTTAAAGCACTCAACTTTCCTTGCAAATAACACTTGCAGTGATACACCCTATGTATGACCAGTATTTCTCACTCCATCATCAGATATGTCCTTATATGAAGTTAAAGAGTCTCCTTTTAACACATTATTTGAGACTTCAAAGTGAGACATGAGGTGATCTCTCTAATAAGGAATGAAATGAAATCAGTCATACTCTAGGCTTCTTTGCATCTTCTTTAGGATCTGTACTCCGTCATAGCCCAAGTCAGTTACTGGTAGGGGTGTGAGGGAGAAAGGCCAAGTAACATCTAAGGAGAAGGCGTCTAATGACTATAGTTCCAGGTGCTCATTTCTTTAATCAACCACATCATAAAAATCAGAAAGAAAGAAACCGCAATGAACAAAGGGAAAGGAAAAAACAACAGACTTGTTCTCCTCAGCTTCTTTCCCCTCTTCCTCCTCAAGGTGCGGGGCCACATCCGGGCCCAGGGCTGGGTCCCAGGCAGGTCTGCTAGGCAGACAACTAAGTTTCACTTCCTGTCAACCCCAGAGCTGAGGCAGGATGTCTCAGGGCATAGAGGGGGGCCAACGGTTGGTTGGGTAGTCAATAGAGGCCACTTTAGGATTCCCTCTTGCAGAAAGTTCCATGGAGCAGCTGAGTAGGACTAGTACTTGTACTCCTCAGGTAGTGGTCAAGACCAATGCATCCCTCTAGTTTTTAGGGGCTTCATTACACACACTTACTTCTAATCATTAGTAACAAGGCTAAGGACAGGCCCTGGCCGGTTTGGCTCAGGAGCGGCTGGAGCATCGCCTGCGGACCAGAGAGTTCTGGGTTCAGTTCCCGCTAGGGGCACATACCAAAAAAAAAAAAAAAAGACTAAGGACAGGATGCTAGACCTGGCAGGAATGAAGCACAATTGGTGCAAGAGCAGGCGTTAAAAACGGTAGTATTACACTTGCAATAATTGGGTATTGAATGCAAATACGTTTTTATAGTCTTTTTGAGATCTTCTGAGTTGGGCCTATGACACAATTCAGAGAGGTGGAGGACAGGAAGGCAAGCTGTTACCCCAGAAAACTTCTGAAACTTCATTTTAAAGCCTTAGGATGTTCCTAGTCAGCCACTGGAATCAGTTTTGTGTGTGTGTGTTTTACTCCTCACCAGAGGATATTTTTCTATTTGTCTTCAGATAGAGTGGAAGGAGGGCGAGAGAGAAACATCCAGGTGAGAAGGGCACATAGACTGGCTGCCTCCCCTACAACCCTGACCAGAGCAGGGAGGAACCAGAACCGAGGTACCTGCTTTTGACCAGAATCAAACCTGAGACTCTTTGGTCTGCAGGCCCACGCTCCAACTGCTGAGCCAAACCTGCCAGAGCACAGTTTTGTTTTTTTTCCCTCTTGATTTTTAGAGAGAGAGGAAGGGAAGAGGGAGAGAGAGATAGAAACATCGATGAGAGAGAACATCGACTGGCCGCCTCCTGCACGCCCCCCAACTGGGGATCAGGCCCACAACCTGGGCATGAGCCCTGACCGGGAATCCGACGGGCGACCTCTTGGTGCATGGATCACACTCAACCACTGAGCCACACCCGCCGGGCAGTTTTTGTGTTTTTTTTAAGTGGAGTAGGAAACCTAGTGTTGGAGGTGGTCATTAATCTGCCTTCTTCCTCCTCCCTGGTTCCAGCGCTACTGTTGCAAAGTAACCTAAACCAATGTAGGGGATTTGAAGAAAAGTAAAAAGGGTTGATAAGGAAAAAGCAACATGGGGTTGGGGGAGGGCAGAAGTGACACCTGAGGAGAGGAACCAGCAGCTGGCCCCTCCCAGGCTGGAGGGGAAACGAGTTTAGCAGGATTTAGCCCTGAAGGAACAAGAGCTGCAGAAAAGAACGGGGGAGGGAGAACTTTTGTGTTTCTATAAAGAGCAGGAAGGTACGGGGCTGGGCAGGACTGCGAAAGGTGTGACCGTATGGGCCCGTATTACTGGCGAGTTGCCCCCTTTCAATTCCCATCGCCCAGACTGGGAAGAGATGAATTAGAGTACTAACTGGATTCGTCCAGAAGCCTACACCCTGCCCTCTGACCCTGGGGCCCAGCCCCGGGAGGCTCCCGGCGTCGAAAGCCAGAGCAAATGAGCGGAGGTCACTTCGCCACCTGAGTCTCCGGGGCCGCCCCAGGGGCAGGGCCAGGCGAGGGCTGCCCGCCCAGCGAGGCCCGCCGCCGGCAACCCCGAGGCTGCCAAGCCCGCTGACCGACCGCTGCGCCCTCCGCCGTCTCGCGCGCGTCTGTCCGGCGAGTTGAGCCAGACGAACGGAGGCAATCGGCTCGCGACTTCGACGGTCCACCTTCTAAGAGAGGATTAGGGGTCTTCCATTCGCCCCCCAACAACACTAGTGTGCCCCCAGTGAGTTCCCGGAGTTTGGCCGACCGGCTCCATGTCCCCAAGTCGTCCTGGGACTTGGGCGCAGGCCAGGGCCTGAATATTCTTTGGCTCATTTATCAGGCCCCCTTTCCGGGTGCAGGTGGGCATAGCCCCTTTTCCCTCGCAGGTCCTGGACGGACGAAGAGTGCCTGTGAGGACAGGGCTGTGCCTCAGAATTTTCTCGGCGACCAGAGGACTGATTTACATGAAACAGGCTCTCAATAATGGTATCAGTGGCAGTAGAAGAGCCCACTATTTTTATTTTACTAAACTCTTCAGCTTCTACTCCCTTCTTCCTCCTTCCTCCACCTTCGTCCGTGAAATTGTGTCCTCTCCCTTTAAGACTAAAATGGTGGCTTGCTAAGATCAGGACTCCACTTCCGGTGGGGAGGGGGGCGGGACCCCAGCCCGCTCACGCCGGAAGTGGTTTGCGTTTTCAAGATGGCGACTCCCTATGTAACTGACGAGACCGGCGGTGAGTGCGGGAGGCGCGGAGCCGCTTCTCCCCGGGCTCTCGGGGCAGGGGTTCGGACTTGGAAAAGGGTCTGTGCCCCGCCCATCCCGGGGCCCCTCCTTTGCCCCGCCCTCCGGACCGCCTTTCCCATTCATTCTTTCCTACGGGGTGTTACCTGCGCCCCCTTCTGGTCTCGAGTTTAGGGGTCTCAGTTTCCGGTCACCCAAACCCTGGGGTCCTTCAGTGTTGGTCCCTACTACAGGACCGTCACGGGCCTTCAGATTTTCTTTAGCCGTTGAAGTTCCAGTATCTCTTTTGGGTTCTCCAGGCTTTGGGGTTTCTACACTCTTAGTTCCCTCCAATTCCTGCCCTCCCATTCTTCCCCTCCCCCATCTTTTAGCCATACCTGTTTTCTGCCCTACCCCAGCCACGTTTTAATTCTTTTTCTGGAACCTGTTATCTGTAGGTCTTCTCATTGCTACACAGTGCTTTTTCCACTCCCTCCCTCATCTTCATTGTTGGTCCAGAGGTGTGAAGGGAGGAGAACCCTAATATAACTTTCTGCTTGAGTTTTTTCCTTGATGGCCCCACCCTTTTCTACCTTGTCTGTTGATAGTGTTAGGAATTGAGGGATCTAAGGTGGAAGAAGGCAATCCAGGAATGTGTCTAGTGGTCTCTCCAGCCCCCTGACAAGTTGATAGAACCCCTACTCCTTCTGGCTAGAGAAGAATGCCCAGTCTTGCTGATTGAGATGCTGAAGTGTCTACTGTGCATGTGAGCTTTATGTGTTGAAAACTGAAAATCAAGATTTTCATTGTGGTTTTGCCTCATCCTAATTTCCTCATCTTTAGGAAAATGTGCATAGTAATATCTAGTCATTGATAACCAAATAAGATAGTATATGTGAAAGCAATTTATAAAATGCTGTGCAAGGCAAGTTACTGTGTTGTTTTTTTGTAGCCCTCATTGTGTATGCGTCGTCTTCTGTAGAAGTGACACTGTGCCTGTGCTGCGGTACATATGGTCTGTTTTAAAATGTGCCATTTATGCTTCTTGCTTTGCTGCTTTTCATGTTCTTTACACCCCAACCCACCTCTCCTATGATACCTAATGACAACTCAGGTCTCTGCTGCCTCTCCCCAACCTCACATTTTAAAGTGGTACAACCTCTTGCTCTACTCAGTAGGTCCTTCTTCAACTAGCTTCTTTTAATGTGTGCTTTGAAAATATTACTCAATTTCCAGTACATTTCTTTTTATTCTTAAGTGTGGTTTTTTGTTTTTTGTTTTTTAATTGATTTCAGAGAGAGGAAGGGAGAGGGAGAGAGAAAAAGAGAAACATTGATGTAAGAGAGACATCAATCAGCTGCCTCCCTCAGGCATCCTGACCTGGATCAAGCCTGCAGCCTGTGCGTGTACCCTGACATTTTGGGGTGAGGGATGAGGTTCAACCAACTGAGCCACACCTGGGCTTACCTGCTTTCTTAAACTTATTTAATGAAAATCCAGATATCACTTCTCACCCTCCCCTTCCATCAAGGGATATCTTCTGTACTCTATGACCATGTACAAGGAAAGGAAACACATTGCTTATTTGCTTTCCCTTAACACTTCCAATTCCAGATCATTGATCCACCATGGTCACACTAATACTCATGGAAGGTATTGCTATGCAGTTATAGCATTTTCTCTAAAACCTCATGGTCATCATCTTTTTTTTTCTCCACTCTGTTTCTTGTTCTCATTCTCAGTATCTCCAGCACCTTTGGGATAATTGATCTGATAGTTCCTTAGCATGAGACCATTGACTTTCCATAATATTTTCAAACCAGCTACACATCAGAGTCACTATAACCTGGACCTTACCTATGATACTGCTTCCCCTTCAGGTGATCCCCAACACTTACTTTAGCCTTCTTACCAGTCATTTTTTTCACTACCTCACAATGACAGAGTCAGCATTTTGCCCTTGTTAGGATCTGTGGTTCCTGACTTTTCCCATTTCAATGAGTCTGTTCCTACCTTCATGACTACCTCTGATGCTGCCCTTGTTAGACCTCTGTGACCAGCCATTATGGCACTATCCTCATTGCCTTTTTCATTCGTTTTGATCTTCTATATTAAGCAAGCACTCATGTTATAACCATCAACTGTTTTCTTGGCTTCTGCTTCTAGGCCATGGCATATAGTTAGAGAAAAAGCATAGAAGCTAGCAGATCCAGTGTCATATAACTTAATGTTAACTTCTTCAAGATCACAGATTCTGCCCTGGCCGGTTTGGCTTAGCAGTTAGAGTGTCGTCCTGTGGTCCGGAGAGACCCGGGTTCGGTTCCTGCTAAGGGCACGTACCTCGGTTGCAGTTTGTCCCCGGCCCTGGTTGGGTCGTGTGGGTGGCAACCACTCGATGGTCCCTTTCACGTCGCTGTTTCTCTCTCTCTCTCCCTCCCATTCTATCTGAACAAAATATCGAAAAATATCCTTAGGTGAGGATAAAAAAAAAAAAGATCACAGATTCTCTCCAAATATTTTTTCTTGGTTTGCTTACATTCTCCCATGGTTATTTCCCCAACCTTTTCTAGCTCTCCATAGCCCTCCCTTTTAATTTTCTCTCTTGTGGCAGATGACCTCACTTTCTATTTCACTGAAAAATCAAGTCTATCATTTCTGTTTCTTTCCTGTCCACAGCTTGATTTCTTGAATGTCAGGACTATACATACTGTTTCCATTTCCTTACTGCTTATTTATTCCTTAACTCTTTACAATTTTTATTTCTAGCACCAACCTCTCTCCTGAGTTGCCAGTTCCCTTTTATTTGGTAAATAGCTTTCATTTGTGGATATATTGTCACACTTCAAATACAATCTGACCAAAATCAATATCAATTTTTTCCCCCTTATTTCTTTTATTTCTTCTAGCCAACCCAAAATCAACTTTTTTTGCATTATTTCTCTTCCTCTTTCTCTCTCTTATTAAAATTTTAAATAGACTTTATATTTTAGAACATTTTTAGATTTATAGAAAAAATTGTATTTATTTATTTATTGATTCCAGAGAGAGAAGAATGGAGCGCGAGAGAGAAACATTGACTTGTTGTTCCACTTATACATGCACTCACTGGCTGCCCCCTGCATGTGCCCTGACTGGGGATCAAACCCACAACCCTGGTGCATCAGGCCAGTGCTCCAACCAAATGAGCTACCTGGCCAGGGCCTAGGTTTATAGAAAATTTGAGAAGATGATACAGACAATTACTATATACCTTACAATCAGTTTCTCCTATTATTAACATCTTACATTAGTATGGTACCATATTGCAATTAATGAACCAATATTGATACATTATTATTAATTAAAGCTCATACATTATTCAGATTTTTTTTATTTCATTGGTATGTGTCCTTAGCAGGAACCGAACCCAGGACTCTCTAGTCCGCAGGCTGACGCTCCAACCACTAAGCCAAACCAGCCAGGGCTGATTTTCTTATTTTTTTACCTAATTTTTTTTGTTTGTTTGTTCTAGGATCTCATCCAGGACACCACATAACATTTAGTTCTCATATCACCTTAAGCTTCTATTGGCTGTGACAGTTTCTCAGACTTTTTTTGTTTTTGATGACTTTGACAGTTTTGAGGAGTACCTGTCAGGTATTTTGTAGGATACCCCTGTACTGGAATTTGTCTGATGTTTTTCTAGAGTTTTGTGTTTGGGGATCGACCATCGAGGAAAAGTGACATTTTATTTATTTATTTTTTTATATATATAATTGATTTTTTTTGGAGAGAAGGGAAGGGAGAGAGAGAAACATCAGTGTGGGAAGCATCAATTAGCTGCCTCCTGCACAACCTGGGCATGTGCCCTGATCTGGGAATCAAACTGGGACCTCTCAATCCATGGGAGGACACTAAATCCACTGGGCCACACTGGCCAGGCTAAAGTGACATTTTCATCATATCATGCCAAGGATAAATGATTTTTTACTATTGATATTGACCGTGATGACCTGGCTATGGTACTGTTTGTAAGATTTCTCCACTATAAAAGTTACTCTTTTTCCTTCTCCTTTCATGCTGTATTCATTAGAAGAAAGTCACTATTAGTAGCCCATAATTTTTTTTCCTTTTTGAAAAATATTTTAAATTACAGTTAACATTCAGTATTATATTAGTTTCAGGTGTAGAAAATAGTGGTTAGACATTTATATAACTTACAAAATGATCCCAATAATTCTTATACCCACCTGATACCATATATAGTTATTACAATATTATCAACTATATTCCCTAAGCTGTGCTTTACATTCTGTGACTATTGTGTAACTGTCAATTTGTACTTTTTAATCCCTTCATCTTTTTCACCCAGCCCCCCAACTTCCCTTCTGTTTGGCAACTATCAGTTTGTTTTCCATATCTATGAATTTGTTTCTGTTTTGTTTGTTGTTTATTTATTTTTTTTAGGTTCCACGTATAAGTGAAATCATATGGTATTTATCTTTCTCTGGCTTATTTCACTTAGAATAATATCCTGTAGGTCCATCCCGGTTGTCACAAATGGTAAGATTTAATTCTTTTTTTATGGCCAAGTAATATTCAATTGTATATGTATACAACATATACTTAATCTATTTCTCTTTTGATTGGAGCATGAATCCATGTTCAGTTAAAGTAATTATTGATAAGTATATAGTTATTATCATTTTATTGTCTTCTGATTATTTTTATAGTTCTTCTTTGTTCCTTTATTATTCTCTTGCTCTCTTATATATTGATGATTTTCTGTAGTGTTGTGTTTGGATTCCTTTTTTTAAATTTCTGTTTTTCTTTATTGATTTGAGAGAGAGAGAACATCAATTGGCCTCCTCTTGCACACCCCCTACTGGAGATTTGGCCCACAACCTGGGCATTTGTCCTGATTGGAAATCGAACCAGTGACCTCTTGGTGCATGGGTCGACACTCTACCATTGAGCCACACAGGCCAGGTGGATTCCTTTCTCTTTATTTCTTGTATATCTCTTGTAGAAATT